CTAAAAGTGGTTAGACGGCTGGTCCACAAATTGCTCCCAAATCATGCTTTTCAGTCAATCCTTATCGTATGAGTAGGTATTGTGTGGAAAAGCTAAGGATTTGGTTCTGGGCCCCGTGTAATACTTTTATTATGACATCAATGAGGAGTGGGACGCACGCTTCTCCCGTTCAGACGAATTGGTTCAGATTGAACCAACGTAAAAAGAAACAAAATTCAGAATTCAGAAAAATTCGAGAGATCAAAGCATCAGGCTTCAAACTAGGGGCTACCTGCTGCGCAGAGGTTTTCAACTTATGAAGCAGAAGTGAAACACTGAGCTGATTATAAACTGAACGTAAGAAAGCAGGTTTTGTGGCAAGAATAGGCAAGGCAACTTCGCATTGGGCTCCTATATCAGTGGTGGCGAACCTATGGCACGGGTGCCAGAGGCGGCACTCAGAGCCCTCTCTGTGGGCACGCGCACCGTCGCCCCAGTCCTAGGCCTTCAGGTGGGTTTTATAAAACCTTTTCGCTTTAGGCCTCTGCCGCCGTGTGCAAAAAAAAAAGAAGGTTCAATCAGTCAATTTCAACTTCTCGCGGGAAAAAAAAGATCTCGCAAAGTTGGAATTGATTGATTGAACTTTTTAGTCCTACCCAGTCTGCCGTTACCACCACAGCGATACCCACCCAATGGGCCACGCCTACCCAATGGGCCACACCCACCCGGCACTCGATGATGCATAAGTGGGTTTTGGGTTGCAGTTTGGGCACTCAGTCTCTAAAAGGTTCGCCATCACTGTCCTATATTGTTCTGCTTCCGTTATACCCCACCTCCAGGGTTGTGGGGTTCGACCTGGAGCACCCCCTTTTAGGAAGGATGTAGCGAAACTGGAAGGGGTTCACAGAGGGGGAAGGAGGAAGACCTGGAGAGCATCCTACACAGGGAGAAGCAGCCTTGGAAATGACCGGCTGGCACAGGAGTCATCATCAAAGGAAGCCGAAGTCTCTTCTGCCCACTTTCGGAGTACGGGACCTGCCAATCTTCCTCACGCGAAGACCCCTTCACCAGGGGCATCAGCGACCCAGAGAGGGGTGGGCTGCCCTGTGGGCAGAGGCTGTAGGTGGACCTCTCTCTGCCTGTCTGTGGTACGAGCCAACCTCCATCGGTGCCAGGCGCAGTTGCTGCCCGTCTCAGCCTCGCCGGCCCCTTGGAAGGGAGCAGGGCAAGGTGGTGCCAGGCTGGAGGTGGCCTCCATGGCTTTGCCAAGAGAAATAGCTGGCCTTGGCGGGCCCACACCTCCCAGCAGCTGGCACAGTGGATCTCCTCCACGTCAGCCGGGCAGTCGGTCCCCCCCCCTCTCTCGCAGGAGCACTCCGCGTCCCCCTTTCCGCATTCTGCTTTGTGTTTAAATAAGAAAAGGAATGGTGAAGTTGCTAATAATGGCTGTAAGAGAAAATATGCTACATCTGCTATGGATAGCAGTACAAAATTAGCTACTCACACCTCTGACACCCAAGATGTCTTCCCTTAAAATACCCCCTCGGCTTCCTTTACATAACTTGCTGATGATATTTAAAAGAAATACAATTTTGCAATTACTTCTTCTTTCTGGTGTATATCATTTTCTTTTTATGTTTATATATTTCTCCTTCATTAGTGCAGACTGAAGGGTGATTAGATCCCTTCAAACATTTTACAGAGGTTAAACGTTGATTAAGATTTAATTATTACTGTAAATAGCTTGGAATGACATATGGTGCAAAAACCTGACATATGTGCATTTGAATAAATGAAGTGCTATTTCCCAGAATGCACCAGGAACTGTTTAACAGCTTTGGTGAAGGGTTATGTTGCACCTCATGTTAAGATTTCTTGGATGTTATATTTTGTTGGGTTTCTGCAGCTGAAAGCTAAGAACAGTTTTTCCAGTTTTTAAAAACATTGAATATTTTAAATACCTAAATTGTTTTGCACAAATTTTTGCTAATTTGTCTAACTAGGTTAAACATTTTCAAAAGCTTTTAGGTTTTCCATGTAGGTTCCTAGCATTGTTGTGTCAGCCTTGGCACTGCCACGCATCGGTACCATTTTAAAGTTATAAAATAATAATTTTGAAGGAGCAGAGCGAGTGTCCTGCTTTCCACGGAGAGACCAGGGTCCTTCTTCTGCCCCTTCCAGGGTGCAGAGAGGGTGGTCCTCAGTCCCTGCACCCCTTTGGCGGACCAAAACAAGGTTTCAGTACTGGGGGGGGCAGTATTTATTTTATTTACTTCTTTTACTTACATGGTCATTCAACTCACAAATCAAACCATCTTGCAAGAATCATAAAAGCAACTCCTATCCAAAGCCAACGGAACTGACTGGCAGGGGAGGGCACCCCTCGGACATCCCCCCCCAGAGATGGGTTCCCTCAACCCTGTGGGGGCCACCCTGTCTTCAGAGTCTTAGAAAAGCCAAAAGGGTCTGGGGGGGGGGATTAAAAGAGGTATCCGGCTTCCTTAAGTCTTGCAAACCCATTTCGTCCTTTAAAAATCCTCCACCTGGGATCTTGGAGCCGACTAAAATGGGGCATGTGAGCTCCACCTGATGGAGGCGTGGGCCTTTGGGGATGCCTGGGGGGCCTTTGAAGCGAGGGAAGGACATGCCGAGGGAAGCAACGCGCCCCCCACCCCTTGGCATGGGGAGCAGAGGGGCAGGGCCCGCTTCGCTTCGCTTAGGGGCAGCATTGAGGTGGTTTGCGAGGAGCGTCCAGCGTGGGATGTTGTGGCGCCGAGAACATGCATGCATGTGAGAAGGAAGGGGAGGTTTCTGCCTGGTGTGGGGTCTGTAAGGGTGAAAGGGCCAGTCTTGTTTAGAAGGGGGTGATGGGGCCCTCCATTCTGGGAGAAGAGGTGGCCCCCCTGCCTCTCCCGGGATCCCCAAAGAAAGGAACCCAGAGGGAGAGGGGGCAGCCCTGGCTGGACACGGCAGCAGATCCTTTGGGGTCCCATCGTGGCTTGTAGACTGCAGGGAGGGAGCGCTCTCCGCATCCTGGGCGCGTCTCACCCTCAGTCGAAGCAGCAGAGGGACCTCCCTATCCCCCACCGCCACCCTCCTTCGCTTTCAGCCTCCAAACTCCGAATGCTGGCTTGTGCCTGCATTTCCTCTGAGCTCGGCATCGCAGCTGTGCTGTTGCGATTCTTCCAGATGATTCTTCCCGCTTCCTCTCTTTCCCACCTGTCCCTCCAAGAGACAGTCAGCCAAAGGCAGCCGCCGAGGTTGGGGGGGGGGGAAAGGGGGGTGCTGAACGTGGCGATCCCTCTTGCCTGGCAAGACCGGGTGGGTGCGGCCACCGATGGGGCAGGCTTTGGCCCTCAAGCCCACAGTGAAAATCCACGGGGGCTCCTGCAGAACTCTGCTTGTGTATTAACAGACTCCACTAACCTCACTGGTGTACAACTGGTGTAATTTTTTTGGGGGGGGGGAAGTGAATTAAAATGTATATCTGCTCGGAGAGAGCCGTTAAGCACTAGGGAGCAGTAGGTAAGTCTCAGTGCTTTTGCTAGTTAGAGCAATCTTACTCCTTCCTTCCATGGCATAAATGGGTGGGTTGCTCGGGCTCCACTTATGCTGGCCAGGGATGATTGGTAGCTGTGCTCCTGTAGCATGTCTGCACACACCATGCCTCTCACCCCCGGCTAGCTGGGGAAGGGGCTCCAGAGCCAAGGTGCTGCAGAGCAGAAGCCCCCTGCACCTGGCCCAGCAGGAGGGGCTGGGACTGGCTACTGGCCGCCTTTCAGCCCTCCAGGATGCCCAGCAGGTAACAAAACCCCCCACCTGCCCAGGGCCTAGCAGAAGCGAGTAGAACGACGGAGACCCCCTGAGCTTTCAAGCAGTGGGCCCAACAGGCTTCCTTGAGCCTTCTAAAGCCGCCTGTCCTCCTGCTCGAAAGAGGAATCTGGCTTTGACAGTGAGGACAAAGCCCCTTCTCGGGTTACTCGCCTGCAGTGGGGAGGCCTTGCATCAAAAGACGCCTCGTTGCCTTTGGGTCTCTCTGGCCTCGGCTGCTCCGAGCCCCTAAGGTGAGGCCCAGCTTCTCCTTGGAGGAGGTGCTGCTCTCGGGCTCCAGAAGCTTCTTCTGGCTCCTCTGAGGACGGTCAAGGCCAGAGGTGTCCAGACATGGCCACTCTTAAGACTTGTGGACTACAACTCCCATCATTGCTGGCTGGGGAATTCTGGGAGTTGAAGTCCGCGTGTCTTAAAGTGGCCACCTTAGGAGACTCCTGGTTAAGGCCAACCCAAGAGACTTGCCGTCGGTTGCCCACAGCAGCCCTCGCTGGTCAAGGAGCCCCTCTTCCAGCATGGCTGTGACCCGGATGCTTTCTGCTTGTCTCGGGTGAAATGGGCCCCCGGCCATCAGGCGTCGAGGGCTGAGTCTCGGTGAAGAGAGGGATGGAGAGCCTGTCCACATTTGGCAGGCCGGACCTGGCCACGAACGTCTCCTTTGCCTTCCACGTGAGGCAGGTGGCTGGAGGGGGGGACCTTCTAGCTGCCCTTGGTCTCCCCAGGATGCACCCCCAGTTGCTGTGTCTGGATAGCTGCGTTTGCTCAGGCATTCTGGCCTCAACCCTGCTTCCTCATTTGGGAAAGGGTCCGTCTTCATCGAATGCCTCCCCCCTCTGGCCACTCCTGACAGCTCCCGGCTGAGCTGTGGCTGATGGGCCAATCAACTACCTGGTTATTGGTAACCCTCCACCTTCTACCTGTTCCTTCCTGGTATCTCCAGGTATTGCTGGGAAAGGTGCCCAGAGCTGCAGCTTGGCATGGAGTCCGTGGGCTTCTGAGAGGTGGGGACGGTGTGATGAGAGAACTTCCAGGGCTGGGCTGTGTGAGCAGAGGAGATTCAAGGGGGCTGGGGTGGCACCCTCCACAGAGCCAGGCCTCTCCTCCTCTCTGCAGCCCCTGGCAGCTCTCCCGGCCCCCATCCCAGCGCCCGCTGGCTCTTCTTCTGACCCCGTTTCATGCCGCCTTCTCTGCAGATCCAGACCGCCCGCTTGGAGCCAGAGATCGCCCAGGCCACGGCCAGCCAGACCGTCACCTACAACAAAGGGCTGTAAGTGGAAGCAAGCCCGGCTCTCGGCGGCAGCACCCAAGACGGCACAGCGGCGGCGGCAGCGGCAGCAGCACCGAGAGGCGTGAAGGGAGGAGGGGGTGGGTGGGGAGGGGGCGGAATACAATAGGAAGGAGAAGACGACAAAGCTGCGGCTTGTAACATCTTCCCTCCGTCAAGAACGGAGTGTAAATTAGCACTTTCCGAGACCCGGCATCTCACGTTGGTCGAAAAGATTAATATTTAAAGTTCTCAATTAGCGACAGTAACAGCACAAAGAGACTGGGGGGGGAAGAATCAGGAACTGGGGGGGGGCTGGTGGAAAGTCTGGCTTCCTCTGGCTCTGCTGAGCTCCAGGCCAGTCTGGCACCCCCCCACCAGATGTGTGGGGATGCAGCTTTCAGGGCCCCAGGGCCCCCACTGCCATGCTGGGAGCTGCAGTCCCAGACAATTTGGGGTGGGAGCAGCTGAAACAGTTGCAGAACATGGGGGGCCGAGCTGCAACTCTGGGAAGGAGGCATTTCAGTCCCTGGGCTGGGGGGACTCGAGGGGGACCCCGTCCATCTTGGCTTGCCCAGAATCTGGCTGGAGCTGTGAGGGTCACTTTGGTCCCAAGCCCTTCCCAGGGGGGGGTCTGCATGGTCCTCCTTCCTTGCTCCTCCCCCACAACCTCCGGCCCCAGGCCAGCCCCCAGCCCCTTCCCCCTGTGCACAGCCGCCTTCTGCAGTTTTCTCTGCTGGGGGGGGCAGATTCTTTGACTTGCAGACTCCCACGGTGGAGACTCCCACGGTGCAGACTCCCTGCAGTGGCCCTTTCCGCGGGCCCTTCCGACCGAGGGCAGAGGACCTCTTTTTATGGGGCCAGCCGTGGGACTGAGGCCAGGGAGAGCTCTTCCCTTCCCACCGCCTCCCCCCCCCACTGGGAGGGTCTCGGGGGTGGGAACAGAAGAGGCTGGGGAGGCAGCCACACCTGGGGCCAGAATGTGGGGCAGCAGCAATCACAGCCCTAGAGCCTTAGAGGTTGGGGGGCTGAAAGAGGCTGGTTCTACCCCACCGAAAATAGGTGGCCTGTTCACCCCACCCCACTCCACCCCACCCCTGAAGGGTGGAAATCCTTGTTCTGGCTCCCCCTGAAGGGCTCCAGGGCTGTGCCCCCCTCTCCCCCACTCTGCGCATTGTGCCTGCTTGCAGGTGCTAAGCAGGCAGGACTGATTACACCCCAGGAAGCCCTTCGTGGGGGGGCTTTCTCTGATTGACCCCTTCCTGGGAGGGGGACTGAGCTTTAGTGTCTGAGGCCAAGTGCCAAAGACTGTTGGTTAGTTGATTAGGAAAGAAAAGGAAAGAAAGAAAGAAAGAGAGAAAGAAAGAAAGAAAGAAAGAAAGAAAGAAAGAAAGAAAGAAAGAAAGAAAGAAAGAAAGAAAGAAAGAAAGAAAGAAAGGCTTTCACAACAGAGTGAGTGTCACAGGAAGTGCCACTTCAGCTCACACGGCATCCTTAATCAGATCCTGGGCCGAGTCAGCGGCGTTCATTAGTCTTAATGGCCCTTCCTTGCCCTTGCTCTTGTTTCGGGTGGTGTGGAAACTCAGGTATTAGGAGATTCAATTTCAGGGCAGTGTGTTGTGCCAACCCCGAACATGTGAACGCAGCCCTTGTGCCTTGAGGGGGCTGAGATGGCTCCTCCAGCCAGAGCAGGCCTTGCTGGGGGGGTGGGGGTGGCAGGGCCAATAGGCCTGGCACCCTCTGGGCAGCCTCCCAGCCCTCCCCAGCCCCTCTTTGGACCCCTGCCTGGTTAGTCCCCCAAGTCTGGGGCTGGGTGCATTTGGGTCTTGTCTTTCCCAGGTATGTGGGGCAGCGGGGCTCAGCCAGGGCTCTTCCGAGTTACGGGGAGCCCTGCTGGTCCCCGCCTAATCAGACCTGTCAGTGGGGAAGGTGCCCCAAAGGGCAGTTGTTCCGAGACCCGGCAGAGAGGAAGAGAGCCCCCCCCTCCGAGAGCCCCCCCCCGGCGCTCAAACTCAGCAGCTCCATCTCCCAGCTGGGGCTTTGGCAGGAAATGCCTCTCTCCATTGCTCGGGGGCCGGTTGCGTGTATGTGTGTGTGTGTGTGTGTTGTGTATGTGTGTGCAGCCTCCCGCCCTCCGCCCAGGGACCTGTTTTGGTCGTGAAATCCAAGCCCGTCGGGGGCTTTCGCTCTCCCAGCGGGAGGGGCTTCACCTTGATCCCAGCGGATTGTTTTAACACCCCTCCCTCCCTCCCTCCCCCCCCCAAGGATTCCAGGGATGTTTTTAGCGCAGCCCAACCGAACCGTCTCCCACTTCGAAGCCCCCCCCACACTTTCCCGGGAAGCGCCCCGGAGGGCGCCTGGTCGGGTCTGGGCGCTGCCCGGCCGATGCCCCACGGCTGGGGGGGGGGGTCTCCCGTCCCCGAGAAGGGCCGGGCGCGGGGCCCGAGTGCCGCCCTCGCAACGCGCCGGCCCGGCGGCTCATTAAATCCGCCGCCGCTCCGAGAGCACAAAAGGAGCCGCGGCGCCCTCCGCGTTCCTGGCTCCCCGTAATTGGGGAGGGGATGCTCAGCTCAGCAGCTAATAATAATGAGACGATCGTCTCTTGTAGCTTTTAATTAGGAACGGAGTAGTTAATTGATTTGTTGGGTATGTTAATTAAGGAATAATGAGGGCTGCGAGGAAGCGGAAAGAGGGAGCCAAGCGCGCCCCCCACCCGCGGCAGACGAGGGTGGAGCCGGCGAGGGTCGCGGGCCTCCGAGACCCCCGCTTGCAGGAACCGGCTTTTGGCTCGGCGGGGAGAAGCGGGGCCGGGGGATGCGCACCCCACTCCCGGCCTTCCTTGGGAGGGGAGAGGGTCCTCCCCGTGTCCCCCTCCCTCGGAGCTGCAGCACCTGGCCTCGGCCCCCTGGCCAACGGCACCTGTGTGGCCCATGTTCCACAGCCAGCCAGTCCCCTGGCAAAGAGGCTGGGCCCAGAGAACAGCTGGAGGGAGCCCCCATGCAGGAGCCGTGGGGCCAGGAAGGGCTGCTTTGCCACTTGCCCCGCCGTGCAGCCCGGCGGCCGGGAAGAAGCCCCGCAGACAGGGTCCAAGCCCTTCGTCTCCCACCCGGATAGACCCTACGCGCCTCCCTCCTGACTTCTGTGGGGAGTGGTCTCGTCTTAACCGGCTTAAGTCAGGGATCCTCCGTGGGTCTCGATCTCCAGGGAGTCCTGTGCGCTGGGGGGGGGAGGGGGGGTGTCAAAACTTACTTAAGGCTGCGTTGCCTCTTAGCCTGGACAGGGGGCTGCAAGGCAGTGCTGCTTGCGCAGAGTCTAAGAACTGGAATATAGGAATTAAAATGTAATTAGCGTTGTTTTCGTGTCTTGCAACTCGTAACCCCAGTGAAATCATTAGCCCAGTGATTCTCAAACCTTGACCATTTTAAGGCATGTGGACTTCAACTCCCAGAATTCCACAGCCAGCATTGCTGGCTGTGGAATTCTGGGAGTTGAAGTCCACATGCCTTAAAATGGTCAAGGTTTGAGAATCACTGCGTTAGCCTAATTTCTGTGGGGTCACACAAATGCATTTACTGTTGGGGGGGGGGGACTGGGCTTTTAAGCAGCCGGGCAGTTGCTCAGCCCTTGAGGGAGGAGGTCTGCACTGTGAAAGCCCACCGGGTGGGCAGCAGCAGAGCCGCCGAGGGCAGGCTCTGGGCACGGCCGACGGCTCGGCTGTCCTCGGCAGGGAAACACACCCGGTTGCAGCAGCCGCGTCTGCCCTGCGCCTCCCGGCATCCGCACTGATCTCAACGCACCTTACGGCTCTCTTGAGCCCCAAAACCGTCGGTCGGGGGCGGTCGCCATCCTTTTGTCTTCCAACGACCTCACTTTCTGAGCACAGATACCTCCGTCCGGGTGAGCCAGTGGCGAAGTGCTTCAGAACGCCTTTTGTAACTTCCTCGGTAGATTTATTGATCGTAATAAACACTTTATGTAACACCTTCTAAAACTCTTAGAATAAAAGCACACCTAAAACTGCTCCTCTCTGCCTCGGTATTTTATAGGCTACCTCTATGTTTGGTTTTATTTATTTATTAAACGTATACACGCTGCCCACCTCGCTATCTCGAGGCCGCTGCCTGCGGTGTTCGGAAGGTCTCCTCTGCCAATAAAGGAGAACGTAGAATAGTTGTAGGTTGGGCCATGAAACATCTGCAAAAAACAGCCAAGCTCAGAAAGCACCAAGGACTCCATAGTCGGCGGCGTCCTCCTCCTCTCCACAAACCCCCCTCCTAGTATTGATGATATTACCTAGTTGGGTCATGAACTGTCTGCAAGAAAACCACCAAGCTCAGAGAGCACCTCAGATCTCTCCTTCATCAGCCCAAGGTCCTAGTCCTGCCCGTCTGTCCTGCCTTCCTGGAAAGCTCAACAGCAGCAGGGCAGGAGGACACCGCTGTGCTGACGGGGGGGGGGGGGCAGAGGGACTCCTGTAGTCGCCTTGGCTAAGAATAGGCGAAAAAGGCCACTAGGGAGGCTAGTCTTCTTGAGATGGTCCTTCTGAGAGGGTCCTTCTGGTGGCAACATTCTTCAGGATCTTTTTCCTGCTTCTCCCTGCCTTGGCCTCCAAAGTCAACTGACCCCCCCCCCCGCAGTGTTGCTGACCCCTCTGTCTTCTCTGCCAGGTGGTGATCCAGCCACGCCCTAAGGCCACTCCGGTCCCGCAGGGGGAACAACACCCAACCGAGAACTTGATTTGCCCTCTTTAACCTGGCGCCCGTTTGAGGAAAAAGTTTGAGCTGTTCTAATTGCCAACCTGTGGTCACACTGGAAGATTTTGCTGAAGTAGCAGGTCAGGATTTATTTATTAAGTGAGTTAAAGCAGGGGTCCCCAACCCCCTGGTCCGTGGACCGGTACAGGGTTGCAGCATGCCAGCAATCGGGCCACACAAACAAGCAAAGCCCCATCCCTGGGATGCAGGCAGCACACAAAACCACACACCCTCCGGTCTGCGGAAAAAACTCTCTCCACGGAACCGGTCCGTGGTGCCCAAAAGATTGGGAGCCTCTGAGTTAAAGGGCTTTTCTGTTGCATCTATCAAGCAAATATAAGCAGCTCACAACAAATGCATAGCGGCCAGGGGTAGGCAACCTCGGCTCTTTTATGACTCATGGACTTCAACTCCCAGAATTCCTGAGTCAGCCATGCTGACTCAGGAATTCTGGGAGTTGAAGTCCATGAGTCATAAAACAGCCGAGGTTGCCTATAGCCAATCAACCTCACAGAAAAAACAAGGAATGCAGAAATTCAATTTCAGTGCACACAATTTCAGTGCAATAATAACAGCCAGTCAACATGCAAGGTGCGGGATGCCTCCCTCTTCAATTCTTCGATCCCCAAATCTTGCAAAAGCAGCCACGTCTTTGCAGGCCTCCTGAAGGGCAGCAGCCAGCAGGCTCACCCTAAACTGCGGAGATGGCTTCTTCCACGAGAGGGTTGAATTCAGGAAGGGGTGCCCACTTTGGAGTCCCCTCCTGCTGTCCCTGGCAGGAAGTGGGGCTCCTGTGTGCCTTGGGTAGCTGCCGGATTCTACCTAGTTTATAAAAAACACTGCTCTGGACCCACTCCTTCCGGGAAGGCAGAATAAGTGGAGCTCACGTTCTCTTCCAGAATTGCCTGCCTTCTCTATTAGCCTCCATCTTTTCCATCTGAATGCCTACAGCAGTGGTTCTCAACCTGTGGGTCGGGACCCCATTTGGGGTCGATCGACCATTTCATGGGGGTCGCCAAGCAAGGCTGTCCGCCATTTTTTTTGTCCGCCATTTTTCCCCCCTTTTCCGGCGGGTGCCTTACCTCCCTTGGGCTGGGCCAGCTGGTGGTCGGCCTGCTCCGTCTCTGCCGCTTGCCAGCTACGCCTCGNTGGGTGTGGCCCATTGGCTGGGCGTGGCTGCGGTGGTAACGGCAGACTGGGTGGGACTAAAAAGTTCAATCAATCAATTCCAACTTTGCAAGATCTTTTTCTTTCCCCGCGAGAAGTTGAAATTGACTGGTTTAACCTTTTTTTTTTTTTTGCACATGGAGGCGGAGGCCTAAAGCGAAAAGGTTTTATAAAACCCAGCTGAAGGCTAGGACTGGGGTGACGGTGCGCGTGCCCACAGAGAGGGCTCTGAGTGCCGCCTCTGGCACCCGTGCCATAGGTTCGCCACCACTGTCCTAGTGGTTTCCTATAGATGTTAAATAAGGCGGCAGAGGAAAAGTTAAAGCCATCCAGCACTGCATGTTCGGGTGCCCCAACCTTTGGGAGTAACCACTCAGGAGGAATTTGCACCACCACAGAAGGGTGGCTCCAGTTCTAACCCCTACAGGTGGTCCAGAAGTAGGGTATTCTCGGCCATGAGGAGAACCACCTGGACAGGTAAGGTCGCAGTCCCTTACGTAAGCCCTGATTCAAGTAATGGTAAAAGGGGTCAACCTCTTCTCCAAAGCGCCTGAAGGCAGGACAAGAAGCAGCAGATGGAAACTAATCAAGGAGAGAACCAAGCTTGAGAAACTTCCTGACAGCGAGAACAATTAACCAATGGAACGACTTGCCTCCAGAAGTTGTGGATGCTCCATCAATGCAGGTTTTCAAGAAAAGACTGGACAGCCATTTGTTTGGAATGGGATAGGGCAGTGGTGGCGAACCTATGGCACGGGTGCCAGAGGTGGCACTCAGAGCCCTCTCTGTGGGCATGCGTGCCGTCGCCCCAGTCCTAGGCCTTCAGCTGGGTTTTATAAAACCTTTTCGCTTTAGGCCTCCGCTGCCATGTGCAAAAAAAAAAAAGGTTGAATCAATCAGTCAATTTCAACTTCTCACGGGAAAAAAAAAAGATCTTGCAAAGTTGGAATTGATTGAACTTTTTAGTCCCACCCAGTCTGCCGTTACCACCACAGCCACGCCCAGCCAATGGGCCACGCCCACCCAATGGGCCACACCCACCCGGCACCCGACGATGCATAAGTGGGTTTTGGGTTGCAGTTTGGGCACTCGGTCTCTAAAAGGTTCGCCATCACTGGGATAGGGTCTCCTGCTTAAGCAGGGGCTTGGACCAAGACTTCCAAGGTCCCTTCCAACTTTGGCCATTCTATAATAGATGAGAGTGACCAGCATGATCCCATCCCAGGTCCTGAAGGTGTCCTGAATGCAAGCAGCCCAGCTCTAATTCTTCCAGATGCTTTGTAGCTGTTGCCCCAAAAGAGAAAGCTTGGACCATGGATGATAGTTGCCTGCCACCTTGAACCCCAGGCCAGCCCTTTGGGGAGAGGCCATATCTGAGCTCCCTTCAGACCTCGCCCAACAAGACCCTCACCCGTCTCTCAGCCCCCCACCTCAGAGGAAGCCAGCTAAGACACAGCCAGCCCCCAGGTGAGGTAGCAGCCCTCACCTGCCCCCCCCCCTTCCCCAGGGACAACAGGCCCAGGCTCTCCCTGGTTAACCTTACAGATGTCATCTGGGACCCAGGAGGCACCTCCATTTATGGCCAGACCTTTTCCCCCTCGCCCCCCCCCCCGAGAATAACCAACTTTACAAGAAGTGTGAAGGGTGGGGGAGTTCAACTGCCTCTCATGAGCAAAGGAATAACCTTGAGCCAATCAAGCAGAAGATTTTTTTAAAAAACTGAGTCTGGGGACAGAAATGGAATTTGAGAAAGCCTCTCGGGCGGGCGAGACCCCCCTAGTTCTCACGAACACGGGGAAAGGGAGGGGGAGGAAGCGCTTTGCAGAAGGAAAGGGCCGTCTGCCTGTCTCCGGTGTCCACATCTGGGGGGCTGCCTCACAAGGGGTAACTCTCTTCGACCCTCACCCCCCCCCTTGGTCCTACTCTCACAGATCCATCTCGAGGCTGGCAGGAAAACCTCTTCCTTCGTTTTAACCCGGGGTGGGGCTCTCCTGGAGGGGGAATCTATCCCTGGAGCCCCCCCCCTTCGGCCTTCGGCGTCGCACCCCTTCTTCCACAGGCGTTGGGCTCAGCCGTCCCGGCAAAGAAGCCTTGGCGGGCGCCCCTCCCGGCTGCATCTCCAGGGCAGGCGGCATCCGAGCGTCCGAAAGCTGCCGACGGGGCGGCCGAGCCCCGGATAGATGCCTGCAGAGACGTCCGCGCTGCTCCCGCCGAAGTCCCGGCGCTTCCTCCCTTGGCAGAGCCGGCAAGGGGGCGGCGGAGGGCTGTTTCGTCCTTCCCCGGGTCCCCTGCGGGGTGCGGCTGGACAGGGCGGAGCAGGGGCTCTTGGCGGGGCCGCCGGCGTGGGGCTCCTGGGCCGACCTTGACCGCCTTGACCAGGCGAGCCGGGTCTCCACTGCAGAAGTTCCTGCCCGCCCAGCAAGAAGCCGCCCCGTTCAGGGTCCTCACGTGGCGCTGCTCCCCCCAGCTCCCTTCAAGGAGCAGGTCCTGGGTGGGTGGGAGGGTGGGTGGGGGGCTTCCCTGAAGGGACAAAGGCCGCCCGGTTGTTGAGAGGGGAGGCTCTCCACCCCGCTAGTCCCAACCCATGGATGCCGTCGGAAGGGGGGCAGCTCCTGCCTAAAGGATTTCTGGTGACCCAAACTTGGGGGTCTGGTGTGCACACCAGGAATTGGGGAACAAGGCAGCTGCCAGGGGTTTGGCTTGTTCCTTCCACCACCCTGGCCCCCAGCATGCCTCTTCCTGCAGAACCTGGTGGGGGGAGGGGGGGTTCCTGGACATGGAAGAGGAAGAGACAGGAGCCAACCCCCCTTGAATCAAAAGGAAAGCTGCCCCCACATGCCCCAGAAGGGCACCCCATATCTGAATCCAGCAGTTTCCCCTGCCCTCCATGTCTAAAGCTTCAGGTGGGTGTCCGGAAGGGTGCCAAAGGCCGGGGGAGGGGCCCCAGGTCCGGTCAGGGGGCCCCCTCTGCAGGGGAGCCGGCTGCAAACAGGCCTTGTACTTCCAACCCAGGTTATTTTTATTCACAGCACAGCAACACACACAACAGCTGCTTGCTATCTATGACATCAGAGTATGTACACAGCCCCAGCAAATGCAGAGACACAAAATAATAAATTAAAGTAAAAATGCATTCTTTTTTGTTGATTAAAAAATTATCCCACCAAAGTGCAACAAAGGCGAGGGGACGGAGTGTGGCGGAGGGCTCGGCGGACGAATGCATTTGTTCACGCAGCTGGCAGAGGGCCTCCCTTCCTCCCTGGCGGCCCTGCCCTCCACACCGGCTGGGCTGGGCATGTCCCACGGTTCCACAGGCTGCCCGGTGGCAGCTGGGCAGCAGGCAGGATCCCAGGAGAGAAGCGATTTCCTAGATTGTCCTTAGGTTCCCCCCAGAATCCCCGCGAAGGGGGCGCCCCTGGTGGAGGGGAGAGCAGCTGGGTCTCCGCTGGGTCCTCGCTTTCCCCCTACGGTCCTTTCCGGGCCCTGCTCACCAGTGGCCGCCTCCTCCCGTCTCTCGCTAGTCGTTGGACGTGACATCAATGTCCTCCGCATTGGACTGCTTTGTGGCGATCCGCCATCGGTTGATGTGGTGGGATCCCTTTTTCTTTTGATCTGATTCGGGACCTTCTTCTTCCAGTTTCTGCCTTTTGTATTTGGTCCTTCTGTTTTGAAACCAGACCTTCACCTGGCGGAAAGTGGAGAAGGAAGTGAAAAAAAGTTAAGGCTTTCTTGGAAACCAGAGTGGGGAATTTCCACACCTGGGGGGGGGGAAAGCATTTTCTGCGCAAAGGCTTGCAGGCTCACCACCTCTGGACTGAAGGGCCCTCAGGGATCCGGTGCTTAGTCATTTATGGAAGCCTATTAAACTTTCATCTCCCTGTCCAAGAGGATCAAAGTTGTACGTTGGAAAGAGGCACCTAAAAACCCAGCTAAAACCAGCCAAATGGACCAACAGTACCCAGAGCAAAAGTACTCCCAGCCCCACTGCTTCTGCAACAAGGGGGTGACGTCTCCCCACCTGGGGAGAGCGGGGGCAGGGTGCTACCAGGGCCAGGTTGGGAGAAGAGCAGCCCTGGAGCAGCCTTCAGAGCTACCACAAGCCTCGGGTTCAGAGGGAGAAATGCCTTAAGGGAGGGGCTGCCTGCCAGGAGGGGAAGGGGCTGCATGCCCAGTCCCTGGGGAGGAGACCCACCCCCTCCTCCATAAACCAAAAGCCAGAACTATCAATAAAAGATAATTTATGTTGCCATTTATATAAATCCAGAATATATGCATATGTGTGTTTGTGCATACACACACGCACATATATACATGAATATACATAACACAGCAAATTTTGTGAATCTGCACATTTCATAGCCTCTGACATCAGGATGGATTCATTCAGGTTTGGGACTCAGCAGAAGTCCAAGAAAAGGGGGCCTATCAGGACGCTGCTAAGAACAATTCACAATTCTGTTTATTTGCTGTGGGTCAAAATACAAACACAAACACACAAGGGCATCACAGAGGAAGTTGTGGAGACTGGCAAAGTTCAGGAGAGACCAAGGACTGTTCCTCAAGGATGGAGATGCCTGTGGAGAAGCCACACAAGACTTAGCCTGCCAGCCATACTCTGGTGGTGGAAATTACATTGACGTGGCATTAAAAGAAAAAGCCCCATGAATAACGGAGACATTTCAATAAGAAAACATACCTGTAGGTCACACAAAGAAAGACAATGGTAACAAAGACCCGGTGAATTTTATCTAAATGTTGTCCAGAATCAGGTACAATTTTGGCCAGTTTGAGAAAATGCCCGCCAGGAAAGGCATGAAGGATTCCTGAGAAACCAGTTGACTTGTGTGGTTTTGAAATTTTTTGGATCTGGGACTAAGATAACACCTCTGGCATAGATCAGACCCCCCCCTCCCCGATTTGACTGGTGTGCCTCAGCAGCTGCATCAGAAGAGCCCACCCAGGAGATTTTTACCACTTAAGGAACACGGGAGGAGGATACAACGCCTGAGAATCCAAATGTAAACACACATCGCAATTCTGCCGCATTCTGTTCTTCTTACTCGTCTGGTCTCTCCTAGGCATCCCTCCTGGAATGGCTGGGGAGACCCTCAAGGTCCTCTTTCCAGCCATGGGGCTTCCTGGCTGCTCTTTTGAAATCCCTCTGGGGAGTCTTGCCCCAAAGAGCCATTTTGGTCCCCAACTGGTAAAGTTCTTGCAAAGTTTGTTAGCCGTGGAGAAGTAATCAAGAGCCCCACACAGATGCTCCTGCTGGCTCCAATTGTTCTAGAAAGCTCTGCTGGCTGATACACACACACACACACACACACACACACACACAAAACACACACAGAGCCCTAGTTCTCTCTTCTGCCCAGCTACTAAAGGTATGAGAGTTGCTGCAGGAGAACTCACAGCCAGCCTGTCATGCTCAGGAACACACCTGATTTATCCTCCTGCAGATGTGCCCCGAAGCATGCAGAGGACCCCTGGGGTGGGGGTCTTTCCAAAATCCCCACCATTCTAATACGACTCTGTCCCTGTGGAAAATCTGTGAGATTGGCTTGGCGTGGCCGGTCAAGCATCCTTTCTGCAGGCCTGTGCCAGCCACACGTGGAAGTGTCTTTGGTGCCCTCAGGTGGCCAAACCCACCCAGAGCTGCCTTTTGCTGGTATGCCGGGCTTCAGTTCTCACATCAGCAAGTCCAGAACCGGGGCCTCCCCTTGCCGCAGGCATGAGACGCATGGAAGTGATGGAGGCCTTTAATACAGAGAAGGTGCGGAAGAAAGACGGGTGCCTCCCCATCCAGAATGGGGGCATAACTCAATGAAGCCTCATGAGAATCAAACCAGACTCTTCCTTTAGGAACTCTGACTGTGAGAACAGTGACTGCCCCTCTTGCAGGGGGCTTCAGACGAGACAGATTCTCAGAGGGGCTGCAGTCAGAGGCGGCTGACGGGCCCCAAGAAAACACTGGTGTGCACCATGAAGCATCGCACTATTTTTAAAAGACAAGGGATTCTGCAGGATGGTCTGCGTTTCAGACCCCAAGTTTATTTCCCAGGCATCCTCCCAGAGGGATGCAGGAAGCAAGGTGCTGGTGGTGCCCACACAGTCAACATATGTGAAAAGGAGGCAGAATTTTGGCCACACAATTGCGGCATCTCTAGATGCTTTGACACACACTCCCGTGGGTGATCTTGCTCATAGCCCAACAGCCATCACTCATCACCCAGCCTGACTCACTGATTATTCTCCTCCTTACCAGAGGCCTATTTTGGAATTTAGATAACAATAAGCACTGAAATATCACAAATAAATATCAGTTCCGGTGATGGGGGCGGAGGGAGACCCTTGGGAGGCCTCAGGATTAGCCTCAGGACAGGTCATCCTGGGGGGGGGGAGAGAGTCAGTTGTGACAATGGCACATAATATAGGTAGTCCTTGACTTATGACCAAAATCGAGGTCAACGTTTCTAAATGAGACAGTTGTTCAGTTAATTTTGCCCCATTTTTCTTGCCACAGTTGTTAAATGAATCACTGCAGTTGTTAAGTTGTTAAGTGAATCTAACATCCCCATTGAATCTGCTTGTCCGAAGGTCGCAAAAGGGAATCAGATGATGCTGGGACACTGCAACCGTCATAAATACGAGTCATTTGCCAGCCGTCCAAATTTTGATCACGTGATCATGGAGGGGGATGCTGCAACAGGCATAAGCATGAAAAAAGGTCATTTTCCAGTGCCACTGTAACTTAGAATGGTCGCTAAATGAACTGTTGTAAATTGAGGACTCTCTGTACATCATTTTATGCCATCTGTTATTTAATCCACAGTGGGATTACTTTACTCCTCTGAACTGTTTCGGGAGGAAGGACAAGATGCCAATAAAAATTTATTGCACAAACCACAGTGAGTCAACCAGTGCCTGGGCAGCAGTGATGGAAAAATCCTCCCTGGTGGAACTGGGAGGGGGGGAATGCTGGGAGTTGTAGTCTGTGATAGAGGGAGAAAGCAACTTCCCTCCCCAGCTCAGCGCAGTCTACCGAGAAGCCAGACACGTCCAAAGCACCAGAGGCAGAGTGCTAAAGGACAAATTGGGAAGAATTGCGCTTTTTGCAAAGAAAAGGGTAAAAATGAAGAAATATTCCCCTCTCTCCCCCCCCCCCCGCATTGGTTAGGAAACCTTGTTTTCTATCTGTTTTTACCGTAAATGACCTCTGTTTTCACATGGTTACGCTCTGTTCCTAAGTACCCATTAAATTACCTTTAAAAAAAAAACTCTACGGAATTGCCAGTTTCTGTTTTCACATTTTACTTTCCTTAAAGGTGCGCCGGGTGTTCCGGGCTGCTGCAGAGTTCCGGGTCTGTCTGGGAGGACCGAAGAGAAACCTGCGGGGAGGGGCGGGGGTCAGAGACGGCTCTGCGGCTCTCCTTTTCCTTCGGGAATGGAAGACGTTTACCCCCTGACGGGAGGCAGGGAAGGAGGAAAATTTCGGGTACAAAATTTCCTTAAGTTTAAAAGGTTTCCAAATCAGTCTGATCATGTTTTTCCCCCTCTGATTAATTAGAAAGTACCAACCCCAAATTAAAAAGGCCTCCGACACGGCTACTTGTATCTCGCTGTATTCCTTGATCCATCCACGGACTCTTCCCTGCCCCAGGAACTCAGCATTGCGCCATAACGCTGCTCACTCCTCTCCAGCGGCAACATTTCTCTCTGCCCCCCACCCCAAATTCTCTCTCTCTGTCTAAAGCAGGGGTCCCCAACCTTGGCAACTTTAAGACCTGTGGACTTCAACTCCCAGAATTCCCCAGCCAGCATGGCTGGCTGGGGAATTCTGGGAGTTGAAGTCCACAGATCTTAAAGTTGCCAAGGTTGGGGACCCCTGCTCTGAAGGACAGCGACATTCCCTGGATCGGGGCCCTGGTCCTGGGCACAGATTATCTTTGAACATGCAAATTCCTTCTTATCGCAGTAACTGTAATCCGTGTTGCAAATTCCTTTAATCAAAGAAAAAAAGTATATAAATTTTGTACCTATAGCAATAAATTAAGTAAGAAGGCCCACAAAATCTATTCTTATTTAAAAAAAAACAAATATTGCCTTTGTGGTGCGTTCCAGAATATTTTGCGTCTACCTGCACAGGAACACCCACAGACACACCGAGGTGGGGCTCTTGAGATTTAAAAAAAAAAAAAGCAATTCAGAGGCCGAGGATCGTATCGACCTCCCAAACCGCTTTTGGGCGACCCCCCACCCCAAGTCTGCTACCCGCAACCTCGTGGCTGAAATCGGAAGGGACATTTGTAATCTGGTTTCCAACCAATTTCGGAGAGGAAACAGGTGAGGAGTAAAACTGACCCTCAAGGCGACTAAATTGTCAGGAGGAACTGGAGAAAAATGGAGCCCCAGAAAGCTTGATTGGTCCCCCCCCAGCGCGTTGTGTATGTGCAACATACAACAGGCTGCAACCCTTGGACCCCAGAAGTAACGCTGGAGTCTAAACCCCCCCCCCCAGCCCGCAGAACAGCTGCCAATCTTTGCCTCCCCGGAAAATAAATGCTCAGCTGTGAATCAGGATGATAATTTAGGAATATCCCGCATTATTTAAAGCCTGCGAGAAATGCCCTAAACAAACAGCGCGTGTTGCACCTTCTGATTTCCTGGGGATTTTTCCTCGGCGTTGCTCCCCGCCCCCTCCAGACCAAGAGGGTCGCGTTCCTCCCCAGCCTCGGAAGGGGTCGCCCCCTCCAGAGGAAAAGCTCCAGAGCCTTTTAAGGGCGCCCGTTTGTTCTGAAATCCAACCCTTACACCCGTTTGCCAAAAACACACCTGCCCACTTCAGTCGCGCTTACCTTCCCGTCAGGGGAGGCGGATCACCTTACACACACACCCCGGTGGACCCACCGCCGGACCCCCAGCCAGGCGCACCTTTGGGGGGAAATTTTGCTCTTCTCGGCCGCTCCCAGGCCGCCTTTTACACAGCGAAGAAGCAATTTATCCCGCTCCGCACAAAGGACCCCCCCCCGTTCCGCCTGTCGCTACCTTAGCCGACGGCACTCAGCTGGACCCCAGAAATGTCCGCTCACCCTGAACCCCTCTGGCGGGCCGCTGAACCCCCCAAGTCTACTGAGGAGACCAAAGGCTGCTCGTGGGGACCCGGCCTCCTCCCAGCCCATTGGGGGCTGGTTTCTGAGGGAGGGTCTCTCTGGGTCTGGGCAAAATAGAGTTGGTGGAGGGGCCGCAGGGAGCCCCTGCCCGTCCCCCGAAGGCAAGGGGGTCAGGAAGAGCCCCGCATGAGGCGAGGTGGGTCTTCTTTTGGCAAAGGAGCTGGTGAAGTAGGGCCAAGCAGGATTAGCAATCCTAAAAGCCCAGCCACGCTCACCTGCGAGGAGCCGGCACAAGGTCCCGTTTATTTATTATGACATTTATCTGTTGCCTGCCTTGTATCCAGCGACTTCCACTGTGCGGGAAAGGGCCCCCAAGGGCCACTCCTCCTTCGGCCCCTGCACCCCCTCATCTCACAAGGCGTCCAAGCAACAGCTTCTTCTAAGGGGCTCCTAAACCACTGTAGGCAACTGGGAAGTTGACAAAAGCCACACAAACCCTGCCAGCCTCCCAGTGATGGCCCTTACAAGGACATCCCGGCATCTGGTGCCAGCAGTTGATTTTACTGTGTGCAAGTCACAGTCTTTGCATAAGGACGCCATCACACACACACCACGCCACATACATACATGCGTGGATATCCAGGAAACTAATCCTACAGCTGCCTTTCCCATGTACGCTGCCATTTGCACACACACACCCGTCATGCTACTCCATGCCGTATTGAGTGCAGAAAGCGAGTAGGGGAAAGTGAGGCACAGAAACGAAAGTTATGCCAAACAAAAGGAAAGCAAATACAGCTAAATTTAAACTAATACAAAATCCTCAAATACCTCTCAGGTAGTTTCCTATCCTGGCAAAACCCAAAGGTGCTTTTTCGGGAGGCAACTGGACTTTCTTGTTTTTTTTTATTTTTTAAGACGTTTAGTCTTCAAAGAAAAACAAAGTCCAGTTGCCTCCTGAAAAAGCACCTTTGGGACAACCCTGACCTGGATGGAGAAGCCCCGTGGAAATTTATCTTGGCAAAACCTCCTCCTTCCAGTGGATCGATCCCCCGTTTGGTCCTCTGGCTTGCCTCCCCTTGTCTGTTTCCTCTGGGGCGGCTAGGCGCCCCCGTCTTCCCCCCCCCCGCCTTTCCTCCTCCTCCTCCTCCTCCTCCTCCTCCTCCTCCTCCTCCTCCTTTGCCTGCCTCTGCCTTTCTATCTCTATTTTCCGAGTGATCTTCACTTGTTTTCTTTCTGTGACCGAACTCTCAGCAAATCTCTTTGGCCCAGATCGCTGGCTTTTCAGGCAAAATAATATTCAATTCCTTGGTCCAATTGCTTTCTTGTTTTCATCTCCCATATCTAAGGTTCCAGTATTTATGCTGTTTCTCCTGACCTACTTAACTCTCACTTCCAGGTTTTATTTATTTGTCGCGTTTAGCAAACGCGGTCTGAGGTGCCCTCGGATCCACCGCCGTTTTCACAACGCGTCTCCTCCCGCGGGCAGCCGCGATGGCCCCACCAGCACTTGGGCGCCCCGAACATTCTCCATCTACTCTCCCCATTTTGGGGAACGTCCCAGCGAGGCACCGGCGCTCCTCTCCAGCCTCCAGTTGCCGTTTTCGTGCAACCTGCAATTGCTCGCTCCGTTTTCCCTGCTACGGAAACAGCCGCTTCCCAGGTAGTGAATTGCAGGTCCCGATTCCTCGCGGCACTCACTGCAAATCCTTCAAAACGTTGACCCCCCCCCCCCGCGTGCAAAAACACAGGCACACCCACGCCTCCGACCGGGACCTTCTTAATTCCACCCCAAGTATTTCGTCTGCCTTTGTAATTACACTAAACACCTTCACTTCGGCATCCGGCCTTTTGCAAGCTTCCCATTTACCCACGGACACGCACACGCACACTCTCCTCCCATCCCCTCACACGCAGCAGCAACCTTCAGCTCCGAGGTAGTGCAAAACAGTTCGCGACGGAAGCCTGTTCAATTTAGCGCCGGGGTTTTGTCTCAACCCACGAGCTTCACCTAAATTGTGTTTCTCACACTCCTGCATTTCCCAGCGTCCCGCTGAACAGCAAATCCTGCTCCGCGCTGCCTTCCTGCTTTCCTCCATCCTCCCTCTTGTACGGAATTCTTCCAAACACTTTCCAGGACGTATTTCACCCCGACCCCTTGGCGTTTGCCTTCTGCCCTGCTCTCTCCCCCCCCCCCCGGGTGCGCAGGGAACCGATAATAGCATTTTTTTCCCCCAATTGTCAGCTATGGTTGCAGCCGGCCCTCTTTCCAGTCACACCATCTAAACCTGCAGCTTTATCGTTTTTCAATATTCTCTCCACATTTATGACTTTGCTGCTCTGGATTTTTTTTTCCCCCTTGGACCAGGGACCACTTTCTGGCATCTCAACAACAGTCCCGTCCATGTTTCTACAATTATTCCTTTCAAAGTTCCCTCCTTTGCTTCAGTTTCATCCCAAATCGTTTCGTTGCTTTTTATTTTGTTTCCGGAGCCTCCCTGCGTAGCCTCTACACCCAAGCCAATGTTTACCTCTTCACACACACACAAGAACACATACACAGACATTGACACACTTCTGTGGGTAGCATAACTGGGAATCTATGGGCTCCAACTGGAATGGTTTTCTCTGCAAACGGGGCACCCCTCCTGCCCTGTGGCTCCGCCAAGGACTCGGAAAGCATCCTCCCCCCCAGAGGGGATTGCAAGGACGGCATCTGCTTAAAATACTCTGCAAGGACGGCATCCGCTTAAAGCGCTCGTGAGGATGTTTCTGGTTCACACCTTGGGTTTCAGAGAAATGGGCTCAGATCAACAGAGTTTTTGTACAGCCGCTGGTGAGTCTGGCAGGAACCAGAAAAAGTTTGAAGAGGCAGGGTCAAGCCTGAGGCCGGAACGGTTAAATCAACCACCCTGCTCTCCACGCATGAATTCACAAGCGAAGTTGACCTTAACGAGTTGGATTATTTCAAAACTGTACGGGGAAGCGAGGCTTAATGACTGATAAATCGCTGAGCCATGCTGGTTCACGGGAGGTTGTAAGGATCCAAATGTTTAGATGAAAACTTTATAAGGACCCAGAGAGCAAGCCACGGGTAGAACAACAGCGGCAAAAGGAAAAGGAAAAAAGGGCTGCGTGGGATGGGGGGGGGCCGCTGCTGCGCGGGGGCAACCAGCCGCGTCTCCCTCGCAGCTTCAGTCTTTAGACAAACGGACCTTCCCGCCGCCCCCCTCCCCGTTTCTCTCCCCTCCGTGGCCCTGGCCGGTGCCGCCTCGCACTGAAGGGCCCCGTGTCCCCCCCCCGCCCCGCTCAGCTCCGCCCCGCGGCCCACCTGGGTCTCGGAGAGGCTGAGGCTGCCGGCCAGCTGCTTGCGCTCGGCGCCCACCACATAGTGGTTCTTCTCGAAGGCGCGCTCCAGCCGCAGCAGCTGCGAGGGCGAGAAGGCGGTGCGGATCCGCTTCGGCTTCCGGGCGAAGGGCCCGTGGAAGAGCAGGTTCTCCTGGGACACCTCGCCGCCTGCGGAGGGAAAGCAGCCGGTCAGCGCCAACCGCCCAGGATCAGCCCCAGCAAGGCGCCTCCGGACGCCTCTCCGGCCCTCGGGACCCAGAGACCCCCGGCCGACCCTCCTCCCGCCGCCACCCGTTGCCGGGCCAGGCAAACGCGGGACTGAGGCGGGAGGTGGGTCCCAGGCGGCCGCTGCTGCCCCTTTCCGGGGGGCCGAAGCAGGGGACCCCCTGGAGGAGGCGAGGCGCACCCAGGTGTGAGAGGTTGGCGTTTCAGTGCCGGGAAGTAAATGGCGGAGGGGGAAGCGGAGAGGCAGGATTCGGGCGGGATGCGTGTTCAGGGGGGAATCCTGGGGCGCCCTAAAGCTGGATCTAGATCAGAAACCAGGCGCCCCCCCTTGCTGCAATTCCCCGGGAGCCGAGGCAGCCGATAAAAGCGAGGTGAGAGGCAGACCGTGACACGGGCGCTTTTTCCTCGGCGCTTTCGGCTGCTCTTCCCCGAAAGCAATTCGAGAACCGTATGGAGGGACTGGAGGCCTACCTTGTCAGGACGTTGTGAAGGAAGTGGCAGTCAGGAGGAAGCCAACATTTCCACGCGGAAAGGGCTGTGGGAAGGGAACGAAGGAGCCCAGTTCTCCGTGTTTGTGTGTGTGTGTGTGTGTGTGTTTCTGTCTCTCTGTGTGCGTATTTGTGTGAAAGGAAGGGTCGACACCAAGCCTCAGGGGTCCTGAAGGAGGCTGAGCTGCGGCTGCCTTTGGCGGCCAGGAGGAGCCCCTCCCTCTCTTTGGGGCGCGGGAGGGGCGGGGGCCGGGGTGGAGAGGGAGCCGTTTAAAGGGTTCCCCTTTCCGTGGCCGAGCAATTCGACGCCCACAGGCCCACCTCGAGGAAGGCAAGCAAGGGGTCCCCAAGCGAGAATGGCCCGGTCTTGCGTGGGGCCAACCCCCACCCAAGAAAGGGTGTGGATGACTTTATGCCCCCCCTCGCGCAAGGGGTGGGGAGGGGGAGCTGGTTCCACAAGCCCGGCCTCCGCTTTGTCTCGGGTCTCGCTGGTTGCGCCTTCCGCTTAAAGACCCCCCAAGGCCGGGAAAAGGCCGGGCTGAGCGCTGAGGCGCGCCCTTCGGCCCAGGCGCCCTTTTCTGCTCTGAGAACCCGGTTCGGAAAGAAGGGCCTCCGGGGAAGGGCTCCCCATCCTTTGAACGCCGGCTCCGGCCTTGCTCCCAGCGCGCCCTCTCCCCCGGGGCACTGGTCGGAAGCGACGTCCGGACGGAGCTGGCAATTCTGGGCGAGCGGCGCTCCCTCCGCCTGCCTAACGCAGCGCCGCGTCCTGCCTTCCGCCGAGAGAGGCCGGCGCTCCGTCTAAAGGCCACTTGGCCCGCCCGGGCCTTGCAGGAGGCTCGTCTCCGGCCCTCCTGGCAGCGGGACCCTTGGACCTGCCCGGGGCGGCTCCTGGCGGGGGACTTCTCAGCGGGGTGGGCGAGGTCTGCCTCCTTCGGCCTGGACCCGCCAAGCAGGTCAAGGGGGAGTCGCTCTTGCGGCTCGAAACCGGGGCGCGCGGTGGAGGCCGAGCTCGGGAAGGCGGCCTCCAAGTCCGTTCCGAGCGCCTGGCTTGCTGGAGGGGAGGTCGAACCCTCCCGGAGGCGCTTCCTCCAGGATGGCCGGTGGGGAGGGTCGCGCACATCGGGCAAGGGGACCGGGCGGGCACAGGTAACGGAAAGGGGAAGAGGAGGAGCGGAGCCCAGCGGCCCCCGAGGGTAGCAGGAAGGCAGGGCCTCCCTTAGCCCACGCCCGGCATCCCTTCGGCCGGCCAGCGCTCCCCCGGCTGCCCTGTTGGGGCTCCTCGCGCCGCCTCTGCCCCTTCCCCGGGACACGGCGTGGAGGGCTCCCCTGCTCTGCCCTCCTGGCCGACGAACAGAGGCCTCGAAGGCGCGCTCCTTCCAGGCCGCGGCTCCTTCCAGAGCAGCTTAGAGGGGACCCTGGCTCCAGCGATGTGGGGGGGCTCTTGGGTGAAGCGAGGCTGCAGCGGAGGTCGGGCGCGAAGGCGCGCTGGTGCCAGGCTGTGCTCGCAGCCCCTTCCCCTAGTAGGCCGCGAAGAGGGAGCCGGACGCGCCCGGAGAGGCTTCCCGGAACCTGAGAGTCCCGAACTCGTTTCGCAGGTCCCCCTTTGCCCACGGGAGCGTCCCGCGGGCTTTGGGGTCGCGGGGGGGGGGGGGCGGAGGCCGCAGCGCTACATTTCTCTGCGACACTTTACTCTCTTCCGAAGCAGCCCAGCTGCGGGTGGAATGCAGGCCCGGCGCCGCCCGTGGTTCCCCGATGACAACGAGGCTTTCTGGGCGGAAAGTCCGCGCGACTCCGGGCCGGCCTTCCTCTGCTGGGCCGGGAGAGCCGCTCTTCTCCTGGGCTGCGCCTGCGGAGGGTCCCAACCAACCAAGAGGGTCTCCTCTCGGAAGGGAGGGAGGGAGGGGAAGGGGAAGGGAGGAGACCGTCCGCCAGATTTCCTGGCGGGGTTCAGGCCCCCCTTCTCTGAACGGATCGGCGCTGGTTCCCGCTGGGATGGACCGGCTCCCGTCCATCCCACTTCCTGGAACCTCAAGCCTTTCTCCGCGACCCTCAAGGACCCCACTGCATTCGCCGGGCGTCCCTTTCCCCGCCTGGCGGGGGTCGGAATCCGGCGGATCGAAAGAATCGGCTGTAATTCCTCAGCGCCCATTTGAACTTGGAGTCTTCCTCACACTTAACATGCCTCTCCCGAGGCAGCGCAGCCCCGAGCCGAGGCCGGGAAGAGCCAGGCCATTCTCCGCCGCCAGGAGCATCTGAACGGGCCTCCGCGGCGGGTCCAGGTCGCTCCCTTGCGGGGCGCCGCTCTCTCTCACTCCCGAGGGCCGTCCTTCCCCGCCGGAGCAGGGATCGCGCGGCTCCACCAAGGAGGCGGCTGCGAGGCCCTTCCCTGCCTCTGGGCGCCCACTTCGCCCCTGCGCGGCCGCGGCCTCGCTGAGCCCCTTGCACCGCTCCCTCCTAAACGCTCCCAGAGGAAGCGACGCCTGAGCAGCGGGCCTTCCCAGGGCGGAGGAGGACAAAGCGAGCCGTTGGCGGGAGGACAGCACCGGCCCGGGGTGCCACCTGAACCCAGGGCTGCTCCTGCCGCCGCAGAGCTCCTGGGGTGGGCCGGATTTCGGAAGAGGGTTCAATGAGCGCCGCCGCTGCCCGACAGGGGCGCCTTAGCGGGGGTCTGAATCGCAACGCCCCTCCCGCGGGCACCGAGGGCCGCGCCGGTCGCCCACAGGCCCGTGAAGGAGAGAGGTGGCTGCGCCAAGGCAGCTTAAAGGCCGCGGCTGCCTTGATAGGGCGAGAAACTCGGGCCAGCCTTTGCCAAAGTCCCGCCCGGGTGGGAAGAGGCGCTGCCTCTGCCCAGCGGGAACTTCTCCCGGCCCCCGGATCGCGATTCGGTTTCCCTACAGGACCGACGGGGCTCGGCTGCCACCTGGCACAGACTGCAGGCCGGGCCTCGGCCGGGCGATTACAGCCACACCGTGCGCCGCTCCGAAGCGAAGCGCAAAGGCCGACGCCGAAGGGCCCCGACCGCCTGCCCGTGGCTCCCCGGAGGCAGCTGCTTACCTTGGAAGCGGTGCCCGAAGAAGCGGTTCCGCAGCACCCAGGGGTAGAAGTTGAGCGGGTCGCGCGGCTGCGGGCCGAAGAAGGGGTGAGGCGAGGGGGGCAGGTGCGAGGAGCCCAGTTGCGGCGGATGGACGGCGAGGGCGGGCGGGTGGCTCACGGCCTCCGGGAAGAGCAGTTCCGGGCCGCCGTAGAGCGAACGCCCGGCGGCGGCGGCCGAACCCTGGAAGCTGTGGGCGAAGGCCTCGACGGCGGCGCTGGCCGGGTATCCGAGGGCAGCGGCGGCGGCGGCGGCGGCGGCGGCGGGACGGAGAGGCTCCTCTGCCAGCGGGTGGCTGTTGTCCTTGCCCACCAGGGACTCGATCGTGAAGCAGCGCTTGGACGCCGCCGCGGGCTGGAACATGACTCAGGGCCGGGCGAGGGCGGCGCTCAGGCGGACCCGGGCGCGGGGACACGAGGGATCCACGTCAGGCTCGGCGCGCAACCGGCCCGAACCGGCAGCAGATCCGGGCTCACTGGACCGGGGAGGGCGCGGCGGCGGCGGCGGCAGCGGCGGCAGCGCCAGGCGGCTCTGGGGAGGTGGCAGCCGCACTCCCACCCGTGGTTCACCCGCGCGCCCGCCTCCCACCCCATCCACCCGGTGCGCAGTGGGCGCGCTCCTTGGCTAGCCGTCCAGATAAGCCGGCTACCTGCGGCCCGCCCCTCTGATTGGCCAGGTTCACCTGCCCCAGGGTTGGGGAGGGCACGTGGGAAAGGCGGAGGGAGGGAGGCGGAGGGGAGGAGGCAGCGGGGTCGCCGCCAAAAGGCGGACTGGAGCGCCCGGGAGGCTGCGCTGAGCTCCGGATCCGCCCCCGCCGCCCCGCCCTCGCGCTGGCCAGAAGGCAGGCAGGCGGAGAGAGCGATCGCGCTCGCCAGAGGGAGGGATCGGCTGCCCGCCCGGGCTCTTCGCGGCGCCCGCATCCCGAGTCCCCCTGCCCAGGCCGGGCTGGCAGAAGGCAGAGCCGGCCGCCGCCCTGTCGAGGAGAAGGGCCATTCCCGAGGCCGAAGACCGTTGGGCGGCTCCCGGGGGCCTTGAGGCCTCCAGGGGCGGCTTCTCCAAGCCCCGACGGAGCCCTCCGTCGCGTCGGCTTTCGCGCGCTTTCACGAGGGGGAGGGGCAGCGGTGTGGGTCGCGAACACAGCCGGAGGCACGGAAGCCGCCCTCCGAGTTCCGCCGAGGCCCTTCGGGGGAGAACTGCAGGCTGAGGAGCCGAACTTCGCTGGGTGCAACGGCCGCTTCTGTCCGTCTCCGAAGACTGAGAGCCTCCAAGCCCAGCGCGGGGCGGGCGCGGCTTCTTTCCACCGACGAAGGCCCGTTCGCGCCCCTCTCGTGGAGCCCGCGGCAGCGGCCTCGCTACCTGCGGACCGGGAGAGAAGCGAGACGGTCGGGGGCTCCTCTTGACCTGGCCGCCTGAGGACCGGCTCGGCTTCGGGGATTCCACCCCCACCGTTGCTGCCGGTCAGGCTGAGAAGGGCGGCTGGAGCGCCCGTGTTGGTTCCGGAGGAAAGGAGGGGACCCACCCAGCGCCGCTGCTCTGTGGTCCGAGCACTGGAAGGAGTTTGGGGCGCGGGATGGCTGGCTGGGCCGGCCCGTCACCTGGTAAGTAGCCCCGGCCATCACTACCGGGAGAGAGTCCCGTCGTGGCCTTTGTCAGGTCCTTCCCAGCACCGGTGGAGCCTGGAAGGGCCCCGATTCTTGTCTGCCAGAGGCCCGGTCGGGCTTCGCTCCGCCTTGGTCGCCCCGGGGGTGGTGGGAGGAAGCAGCGCGTTGTGACCGCGGCGAAAGGGGCCGGTTCCGCAAGACGCGGAGTCCCCGAGTCCCCCGGAGGGCCGAGTTCTCACAAGCTGCTCCCGCCACCGGCCTTAAGGCCGAGCCTCCCTGCGCCTACCTCGGCCGCTCTGGCGGCGCCGGTTATGTGGACGGAGCGGAGCCCCAGAAAAGCCGCGCTTCCCCCATCCCGACACCCGGAGGGCAGCTCCGCACTCTCCACGGCCGGAGGTTCTCTTCCTGCGAGGCCTTCGCGTCCCTTTCCCGAGGGTCCCTTTCGTGGAGAGGCCGCTTTTTCCGCCGAGATCGGCCGTCTGCCTTTCTCGGGCAGCGAAGCCACGAGCGCCCTTTCCAAGCGGCCTCTCCAGCCGGCGCGCGTTCCCTGCTGCGGCCCGGGTAGCGCAGGAGAAGCCCAACCGGAGCCTCCGATCCGGAATCCAGCCGGGGCGTCTCGTTTCTTCCGCCGGAGGCCGCCTCGGCTGCCTGCTCAGGGCGCCAGAGCCGGGACCGGGCGGGGGTCTCCAGCGGCAGAAAGATTTGGGGCGACCGAGGGCGGTCTGGACGGAAGCGGCTTCCGGCGTTCCCGGCTAACTGCGGGTTGTGACCTCTCTCGCCTTCTTCCAGCGGCCGACGGGCGGCGGGTTTGGGGTGCCCGGCTCAGCGGGAAAGGGACTGCCGGCTGCTCCGAGGCGTCCCGGTGACACCGGCTGCCTCGAACGGAAGATTTCATTCCGAGCCGCGGCCTGATAGATTTTCCTGGAAGGAAAATAAGGCAGAGTCGGACGGGTGGAGGACGGGTTGCGGCTCCCACCCTGGAGGTTTTCAGCGGTGGCCGGGCTGCCCTTTGTCCGGGAGGGTCCGGGGGTCTCTGCGCTGGGCGGGGGCCGGAGAGCTGAAAGGTCTCCTCTTACCCTACGAATCTCAGGTTCTCTCACAGAAACATGGCGCAGGCCTGCGTGTAGGGGAGACGTAACGTATTATAGGAGCTGCCTTTTCAGGATACCGATATTTTTCAGAGGAACCGTTTCCGCGCAGTCGCCGACCCCGAACTCGTTTCCACGAACGCCGCGTCCCCCTCTCTGCTCCCTCGGCTCAACACGCGACCCTTCCTCGTCAACGTTGGCTTAATTTCCGTTTGCATCCCGGGGTGAGGATCGAGCCGTCCGCTGCGCAGGAGGAGGGGGCCCTGCATCCCGGACGGTTGAGGCGCTCCACAGAAAGGCCGTTCCGGACACGTCTGCGGCGACCGAGCTGCCCTTCGCCCTTGGACGGTGCGGCCTTTTCCGAAGAGCTCCGGTCCGGCCTCCCAAGGGGCTCCCGCCGTTTCCAGCAGGGGAGCAAAAGAGGCGCCTCCTCACTCGTGAACGGCTCTCGTCGCAAAGGGAAACGCGAAGCGCCGAGGCCCAGCCGGATTAAGGCCCGCCGTCGCCCAGATGGAACCACAGCCCGGCGGGCCCGGCGGCCGCTCCCTCGCTTCCCTCCCGGGCGGTCCTCACCGCAACCTTCACGCTCCCTTCCGCGCGTGGGAAGAGGCCCGGACGCCTGGCTGAGCAGATGGAGCTGACGGGGCTTTGCCCGCCGGCCCCTCCAGACAGCCCCGGGCCCCAAGCAGGGTCCTTCGCGCTCCCCCTTCGGGCTCCCGGTCCTTCCGCTGCCCCCCTCCCCGTCGAGGCGGGCAGAGCAGGGCGACCGGCCGAAGCAAGGCGGCGGCTGGATGCCGCCGGTCCTCGGACTTTGGCGAGGCCCGGCTCAGGTGGCCAGGCGGGCGCTGGTCTCCTTCGTCAGCGCAAAGGTGGAGGGCGCTGGGCAAGCAGGGCCCTCCTGTCCCCGGGGGGCCCAAAGCGTTGGGGGCTCGAATCTGAAGGGCGGGCCGGGCCTGGTTGTTTTCGGCTATGGGGAGCTTCTCGCGCCCTTTGACGGAGAAAGAGGCCCTTGACCGACCCGGCTTGTGGGTGGGGCTGAGAATATCTGGTCACCTTTACTTCAGGGCATTCAGAAGACCAGCTGGGTCCCCCGGTGGGGGGGGGAGCTGGGCATTCACCCCAAGAGGCCTCCTAGCAACTGCCAGCATCAGAAGACCAGAGAGTGATCAGTCCAGTCAGTGGATTCCCCTGGGCCTTTCCGGATCTTTTGGATCCCCAACTCCACCTGACTTGGGAGCCAAATTCTGCCCGGGCCTGGCGGGGCAGTGGCGGTTGTGGCCCTGACGGGAGCAAGGCAGCACGGAGGCTGAAAGCTGAAGCCTCCCCTTGAATGCAATCCGGCCCAGGACGCCCTTTCTGGCTGAGAAGAGAAGACACGGCTGGCCCTCTAACGGCCCCTCGACCTCCCCCCCACACCGCTGCCAACAGGGCTCAACGCCCCCTCAAAGTCAGTGGGGCTGAGCAGGAATCCCCACTGGCCATGGGCACCTCCTCCTCCTCCTCCCAGGGACGGACCGCTTTGCCCCAGAGTAGCCTGGCAGACAAAGCGGCAGAGGTGAGTCGCCCTCTCCTGTCGTCCCCCCCCCGCCCACCCCCGTTGGTGCAGCCTGTTGCTGTCTGGAGCACCTGCCTCGCCCCTTCCTCAATGTGCAGCCTAAAAGCTGCCCAGGTTTTGAAGTTCTTTTTGCATAACTGGGGAGGGGGTCGGATTTACTGGTGGGGATGAGTGGTGGGTGGGAAAAGACACCTCCCCCCACTCTAAATTAAGTATATTCTAAATTGTGTTTTTTTTTCAGAACAGGTGAATTCCCACAGGAATTCAGGCTTCCTATGCAGCTGGAAAAAAAATATAATCCTAGGGCTCCTTGGTTACTTGGACCAGGAATTTCTTTTGATTGTGGTGGTTCTCTCTCTCTCTCTCTCTCTCTCTCTCCTCCCCCTCCCTCCTTCCCTCTTTCTCTCTCTCTCTCTCTCTCTCTCTCCCTCCCTCCCTCCCTCTTTCTCTCTCTCTCTCTCCCTCTCCCTCTTTCTCTGTCTGTCTGTCTGTCTGTCTCTCTCCCTCCCTCCCTTTCATGAGGAAATGACCCCCTTTGCGATTTAAGCCTTGTGCGCGGATCCAAAATGGTTAACAGGAGACTTTGCCCTTAGCCAGAAGGGTTGAGAGATCAGCATGGAAGGGAGGAAGTGAGCAAGTTTACACTGGCTTCCTTTCCTTCAGGGCCCTCTTTCTCTTTCTCTCTCTCCATCTTCTCTCTTCTCTTCTCTTCTCCCCCTCCCCACAAAAACAAATACACACAAATACACCAATGTGAACAACGCAAAGAATTCGTAAACCGGACTCCCCCCCCCAACACACACACCAGAGAATGGTGTCTTTGATTAGACCAGAGATGATTCCAGGGGCCCACAGGTTCAGGATCTGCCCCACTTGCCAATTCCTGAAGATAACTAACAAAAGCTTTGAAATTTGGCAGCAATTCAAGAGGCTGAAGCAAGAGAGAGGCCCTGGGCTGTGGAAGGCTCACCATCCACTTGGCTGCTGAGGAGATGGCACCAATCCAGAACACCAGCAGATCAGTACATAAATCCACCTAATCTAAAATTCAAGGTACCTCTTCAATATTACTTAAAAGTGCCCTAACACTTTTGAAAGCTTCTTTAAAAAAAAAAAAAA